CTTATAAACATGTTTTATATGACGTACATATCAAAATAATATTCACTTTTAAGATTATAATAGTAACTTACATACTGTAGTGGAATATATTCGGCAATATTTAATAAATTGGCATGTTTTTCTTTTTTAATTGGTAGTGGCCCTTAATAGGCTTCTCTAAGTTCAGCAACATCAGATGAAACATGGAATCTTATCGAGGAAAGAAAACAACGAAAAAAAAAAGATATCCTGCAAACAAGAACTGTAGAAAGAAGAGCACACCGACAACAGGAATATCAAACAATAAATTAATCAGTTAAAAAGAAAAGCTAGAAGAGACAAAAGCAGGTGGGCCGAAGAACTGGCAAAACAAGCAGAAACAGCTGCACAACACAACAGAACTAGGGAGCTTTACCAAATTACTAGACGACTAACAAAAAATGGATTCAACTGTTCGAACATTGTAAGATCCAAGACAGGCGAATTACTTACTACAACAGATGACGAAGTAGAGAGATGGAAAGAACATTTTCAGGAGATGCTAGGCATTCCCAGAGATAACGCAGATGAAATTGTCGAAAACCCGCAGAATATATACTTGCATATTTCTTGCGAGGCCCTTTCCAAAACGGAGATAATAATAGCTATCAAATCTCTGAGAAACAACAAGTCACCTGGAATCGGTAACATTGCTGCTGAAATACTTAAAGCTGATCCGCATCTAACTGCTGAACTTTTGCTCCCCATAATCCGAGTGGTGTGACAAACAAACCATATTCCAGCGGGCTGGAAAAAGGTAACATTATTAAGCTTCCAAAAAAAGGCAACCTCACACTGTGCAAAAATTGGAGAGGAATAACCTTGCTTACTGTCATAAATAAAATTTTTACGACCATCATACTGAAAAGATTAACAAACAAGTTTCGAGCTAATCAAGCAGGCTTTAGACCAGAATCCTCCTGCATAGACCACAATAATACTGTGAGGGTAATAATGGAACAATCGGTTGAATGGAACACACCCCTATACATGGTTTTTGTTGATTTTGAACGTGCCTTTAATAGCTTGTCTCACGCTGCTGTATGGAAAATTTTAGAGCTAAGAAACATCCCGCAAAAAATAATTCTAAAAAATCTATGATAAAGTCACTATATACTGATGCGAAATGCAGCGTGACATACAATGGGATCAACAGTGACGAATTCGACGTACTTACTGGAGTTAGACAGGGATGCATGCTGTCTCTGTTCTCCGTTTCTTTTTAACATAGCTATAGACTATGTTCTCTCCAAACTAGACTCTGACACAAGAGGGATACAATGGACGTTAACCACACGCCTAAGCAATCTAGAATACGCAGACGATATCTGCCTATTAGGTCAAAGGTTCCAAGACCTGGCTTATCAATTATAAACACTTTCCACTGAAGCCAATAAAATAGGTTTGAAAATCAATATTAGTAAAACCAAGTCCATGAGAATAAATGCAAGGAACAACACGCTATTTACTATCGACAATATGCAGATTGAAAATGTGGAAAACTTTACGTATCTTGGAAGTGTCGTAACAGAAAACGGAGGTACAGAAGACCATATTCGTATGAGAATACGAAAAGCAAAACAAGCTTTCAGCACGCTCAGCCCTGTTTGGAGATCTGGCGAGTATACTACAAGGACAAAGATCCGAATATTCCGATCAAATGTCATGTCTGTTCTACTCTACGGATGTGAAACCTGGAAAGTGACAAACACCCTCACGGACAAACTGCAGGTCTTTGTTAACAAATGTCTACGAAGAATTGTTCGTATATTCTGGCCTAACACCATCAGAAATGCAGATCTGCTACACCTGACCGAACAAAAGAAGGTACAAAATGAAATAAAGTCCAGAAAGTGGGGTTGGATCGGTCACACACTCCGAAAAAATAGTTCCAGTATCGCAAAGACTGCCCTAGAGTGGAATTCCCAAAGGAAAATAAAAAAGGTCGCCCAGTACAAACTTGGAGAAGATCCATCATGGACGAGATAAAAGGCCACGGAAAGTCTTGGAATGAGGTGAAGGCCTTAGCGCAAAATAGAACCTGATGGCGAGTTTTCACTGAAGCTCTATGCTCCACTTAGGAGTTCAAGAACCTTTATATATCTATATACAGTTGAAGGTAACCGGGAACGACCCAATACTAAGGAAGCAATAAAAAACGGGTGCTTCAAAGTGAGTGTCTTTTATTAAAAGTCAAGCTTTCGCCACATAATTTTGGGCTTCATCAGAACTTGCTGTAATGGAAAAACATTCTTTACAATCATCATAATTAAATATGTTATTTTTAATATTACCTTAACGTTGACACTATTTCTTAGTGTAAATTATTGTAGATGTGGAACTACACATTGTTTTCCAAACACAAACCAAAACGCATCTCCTACTTAGAGGAAGATGGCAAACAAAGCTTAAATTAAATAATTAAATTTATTATATTTTAATATAACCACGTGGCCGGCATTATTTTTGACAAGACAAATTGTTAAGTCATGTGTCGTATCCACTGTCACTTATCGATACGGCACCGGTCTTAATTACTTCTTCTTTTTGTTTGGTATAAGACACTACTAGATTTCCATTACAGCAAGTTCTGATGAAGCCCGAAATTATGTGGCGAAAGCTTGACTTTTAATAAAAGACACTCACTTTGAAGCACCCGTTTTTTATTGCTTCCTTAGTATTGGTTCGTTCCCGGTTACCTTCAACTGTCTGTTGTTTACCAGTAGCCCGTTACTGTCCTCGACTTTTATATATATATATATATATATATATATATATATATATATATATATATATATATATATATATAATACAAAATTAATTTTATATTATAAAATTTCTGTTGAAATTTTATAATATATATATATATATATATATATATATATATATATATATATATATATATATATATATATATACTTAAAGAGCTTGTCACAATATGAACAAGTATCTAATCTGGGAAGTCCAAAGAGCAAGTTAAATTTACTTTTAAAAATGTCGTGGTAGGTTCGTAGAGAGATTTTTGTATCAGGGTACATTTTTAAAAATATTCTGTACATTTTTGAGATACTTAAATCAGCTGGAAAGCAACCTTTAAGCGGCCACTAGATTACTCGCGAAGTTGATCGAAGTTCAATGAGTACGGGAGTGTAGACAGGTACTTCATGCGACTTCGCTTTGCTTCGTTCTACTTCCGTTCGGTGTCGGCTTTTCGCGTCCAAGTCAAAGGGTCCGAAGTACGAATACGAAATGTCACACTACACTACTCGACTTCACGAGTATGAAGAGAGTCACTTCGCCTCGATTAATTTCACTTTTACACTTTGTCTGAAGAAATTCGATCGAGAGTGTACACGGCGTTTTAGAAGAAGAATTTCTGCTATTATGATTTTCTTGCTGCGGAAATAAGATGTACTCCTGCTTTCATTTTATCAACAAGGTACTGGAGTCTTCTAGGGGTTATTGAAAATATATAACATACCGTTGTTTTACATACCCCCACGTTTTCTACTGGATATTTCACTGTACACTGACGACGAGATGTTGCTTCCCCAACGCTTATTCTTTTTGAAGCGAAAGAGATTGAAATAAAAATTTTGGTCATTGTAACTCAGTCTAAACGTTTTGAATAGTTTTGCGTGATTGCCCACTAATAACGCAGCAAAACAACCCGTTGTAGACTGCTTACATTTACAAATACGCACCTAAAATAAATATTGTTTTAAAGCATGAAACTAGTTTAGATTACTTTAACTTACCTTATCCGGACAACTTAGAGCTTCTTTGGATACTTCTCTAGATGAAACGTAGGAAAATCACTGATTTGTTTATACTAACATCCATTAAAAACGTTGACTTACAAAACACGTGCAGAAAATTTGTCGCGAAACACGACCCTCCTTGACACATACAACGTTCTTACATCGAAAGTTGAAGGTTGACTAATTTTCAAACTACCAAAACAGGCAAGTTAAGTTTCATATTATTCCCCACGGAATTTTCGGCCCACATACATATGAAAGTATTACCTGCTACAACGTTGTTCCAGTATAGCATTCAATTGTTAAAATTAAAGTTAAGAACAATCTTTTAAGTTAGAAACTTTATTCACTTTATTACTTTTGCGCTTTGCCTCACTTTCAATCTTAAAAGTGGTTTGGCATTTTTCACAGACAGCCGACGACTTGAGTCTTATTAATTTTCAGTTTCAATAAGTTGAAAATTATAGATTTATTATAGATAGACTATAGATAGGAAGGTAGTTTGACCTAGTATATCGTGGTATATATGGTTCTACGTGTGTGGCTTTCGGATAAGCTTTTACACCTCCTGCCGTGTCTGTTTCAGATCGAAGTCTTAATTTAATGAATACTTCAATTCAGTAGAAACTTTCTCTTGGTGAGCTTCGTCGCGGTTTATCTGAGTATTTCTCACCGGTTCCTTTTTATCTGTATCCTCATTATTTATACGTGAATGAAACAACCTTATTCCTATTCCTTGTTTACTTGGTTTATTCTCAATCTGTTTCTGTCCTACGAGTAGCTAGCTAAGTTTTAAACGGTTTTCTTCAGTAGCTTACCTCTATCGTTCCAATTTTGGCTCTCTCCCCGTTCCAGTATTTTTCACAGATATCAATATTGGAATGGTAGTAGTAGTATCTAGCTCTCCAATGGCGCTACACTGCAGCACAATTTGGACTCTGGCCTCTCCCAGCATACGCCCCTTAGCTGCTCTCCATGAGTTATTCACCCTCAATATCTTTCTAGCATAGGTTCTCACTTCGTCTGTCTATGTCTTTCTACTGGCCGACCTTCCACCATGTTCCTACGATTAATTAAGTTTTTTTTCTGTCATCCATGTTTCTGCGCCATATTTGGCTATTGGTCGTATGGTTTTATATATTTTAAACTCCTTATAGGTGAAGTTGTATCCAAACATCTGCGACAAAAAGAAGTATGGAGTATAGTAATAAAAGTTGGGTCTAACAGTTAAATATTGTACTCATATATAAGTAATGCATTTATTAAATACTATATTAATTTACTACAAAACTAAACAATAAATATGTCTTAAATAACGAAACAACCAGTAACCATGCGGTCTGCTCTATTTTTGATGATGCTGAGTCTATTGTTGGAACACTGGCATATATTACTCTATCGTTAACTGCTTGAACGGGTCTAAAGTTATGATTTATTTTTCCAGCGTTGCCGGTTATCAAACGAAATACTTGCAACTAAAAACAAAAATATATATTAATACAGTACTGTTTTACAGATACATCTTATACTAAAAGCAAACTGGAAAGATTCGAACGTAGTTATGAGGTTCGAATCGGTTTGTAAATGCCCCTTTGTTTGCTTTTTGTCGATCGACGATGATAAATATAATAAAAGGTTGAAGTTGTGGAGTAAAAGTGTTGATTTTATTGACAGCTACTAGTAATTACACAATAAGATGTTCGTTAGGTAACTACTTATGATAGACTGTGCTCAAATATAATCTCACAAATAATTCATACCTCAGCACAGAGGTTATTGCTTTCTATTATACCATAGCAACAAATTTTGAACTATTTGCTTACATTATATTTTAATATAGGCCTTAATTGCGACACTTCGCAATATAATGCCGGAAGTTCAATTAGAAAATATATTATTCGGCAATTTATTTAGTTGTAGGTAAATAAACTAATTGGTAAAATATTATACGGTATGGTTTTTACAATGTCCCACTTATACACGGTGAAACTATAAAAGATTAAGAAGTTAAGAATAATGTGATATTACAAATTAACGGGTTAATTTGTAATTGAACACGAACTAATATTGTAGACAAATAAATAAATCTATCACATTCATTTTGTAGATTGAATAAAATAATACACCTGTTGAACATGTCATTTGACAAAAGTGTCACGAAAAGAACTTGCCCTTCTCGCAACAGTACACTAATTATTTTATGTGAAAGTTTAAGTTTTGACATGCGAAACAAAAAATACATTTACTTACTTGTTCGTGTGATAGCGGAATAGTGTGAGCAAATTCAATCCATGTAACAACTTCTGAACATGGGGGAGTTGTTAAGGAACCTTTGTAAGTAAAGTACTTGTCCCTATCGGTGGTAGTAAAATCATTTAAAGAATCAAAGTTGACTATGTCCACACTGGAGTTCATATTCTCTACCTGTGGTAGCTCGTGTTCAAATTTTTCATATTTTTTGTTTTCCGTGCGGGTAATCTACAAACAAAAAGTGTATACATTTTGTAAATTGTATTTATTTGATAATAATAAACAATATTTTTTTTAGTTTTTGTTTACCAGTAATATTAATTCACGTAAATATACAATAACTGTAATGATCATTTTATTTGTTACTATTTTAAAAAGTTCCGTGATGAATGTTGCAATTCAGGTCCTCAAGCCCTTTAGCTATAACATATGTCTTCTTCTGAGGCTTATACAGCTTTTTTACAACATATTTTCTGTTTCCTCCAACTCTGATGTCCCCTATAAGGCGGGGCAATGAAGTAGTCAAAAGCCCAAAACCCACCAAATTTTTGCAGTAGGATGGATTTTAATGTAACTCTTTTGCATTCGATTCTTACGAGTATCAGGAAATTTTGTGAATAAAAATGTCGAAATGAAAATTGCAGTATTGAACAAGGAAAATACAAGGAACAGATAAACGAATCAGAATTGAAACGAATACTTTAGTTGAACAAATAAAAAAAGGAACACTGGCATAGTTTCTGAAAACAGATGGAATTCGACTTCTATGGAACACGACTTCTACGGAACACAAAAAGAAATATGGAGAATGATCATAGGATAAAGAAAAGAGATGAACAAACTAATAAAAACGAAACACATTCAGAAGAAAACATAGGTAGACTACTTTCGATCTCTATTTGCTAAAGGTGACAATAATGAACCACCAACACCAGAGGCGACGACTAACGAAGAAATAAATATTGAGGAGGAAGAGGTAAAGGAAGCATTAAGGAAATTAAAAAATAGAAAATCATCAGAAGAAGACAGAATACCAAACGAACTTCTAATACCTCTCTTCAAAAAACGAGACAAAAGTAAAAGTAGAAGAAGAACTAATCGACTCTATTAAAGCTGGAAATAGGATAAGACAGGGAGATTCCCTGAATCCTCTATTGTTTAACCTGATTATGGATGAAAGATTGAAAAAAGTAAGAACTAAAAAAGGATACCAAATGGGAGAAAAACAACTTAAAATAATCTGCTATGCAGACGACGCAATACTACACTCTCAAAGTGAAGATGATTTACAATGTATGCTGCACCATATTTAATACAACCGCCAGAAAATTTACATGTAAATTTCCCCAAAAAAGACAAGATGCATGGTTACAACAGCAAATTTACTAAGATGTAAACTAGAGCTGGAAGGTCAGATAAGTGATGGAGTTTAAATATCTAGGCATCACCTTATCTAGCTACGGAACGCTCGAAACTAAAGTTGAAGATCAAGTAAATAGAGCGAACAGAGCCGCAGGCGCTCAAATGAAACAATATGGAAAAATGATATTATCAGGAAAGAAACGATAGGCAGAATTTACAAAACAGTCAGCAGACCAATAATGACATACGCGGCAGAAACAAAACTTGACACAGAGAGGACAAAAAGAATGTTAGAAACAGCAGAGATAAAAAAAATTAATGGTAAGACACAGGAAGACCACGAAAACAATGAAACGGAATCTTACTGGAGGCACATTGAAAAACGGACAGAGTCATGTCTATATAAAAGGAGAAGAAGAAGAAAAACAACAAGGAAAATACATTTTCCAAAGTGCATTTCGAAGTGATAAAAATGATGTAATTCGGAAATAATTGAAGGAAATGAGTTCAATATTACTACCCCGGGTGTCCTTGTTGTCACTGAACACGAATATTATGACTGCTATAGTCTCCGAGGTACCTTTTGTACCTAGACCTCGTCTCCTGGAGTTTTTGATACAAAATCTAGCAACACGTTTGCACTGACTTTGTATCGAATTTCCACAAAACTTTAGGGAACGAGGCTGTTCTGGGAAACAGTTGTCTCGCACACCACCGTCGATATGACATTAGTGTTCAGCGACCCAAAAAATCCCTGAGTAATTAGTTTGCCCTGATTTTGTATCGAATTTTCAAAAAACTCCGTAGACGAGGCCCAGGTGCACATGGTGCCTCAGAGAATATTGCCGTTCTAATATGCATGTTCAGTAACCTCAAAAACCACCGATTTTAGTGAAAAACACTAACGACCAACCAATCATTCAAACTGCCGAGTTACTTTGCCCGTACACGACAAATTCCTCAAAGGGATTGAAACCATACTCGAGGAAGCACTTGGAGTCATTACAATTTACTATGACAGGAACTCGCTAAAGCCTAATATCATTAAAGCCCAAGTCTGCTCTTTTGACCTAAGATCGAAAGAGGCAAAAAGTAAGCTAATGATCGAATGGAACGGACACCAACATGCGGAGCATTCAATGTACCTCGGAATAAAGCTTACAGAATACTTACATATAAAGCACACTGCCAAAAGACCGCTCTGAAGGTAGCATCCCGTAACAATGTACTTTGCGCCAACTGCGCTACTCTAAATGAAGCGTTTAGCCGAATGTCCTAACTACGTCCAAGGCTCTCAGCTTCTCCACGGGCGAGGGAGTAGGCATACCTATCTGTGGTAGATCAGCACACGTTAGGAAAGTGGACGTAGCCCTAAACGAAGTATGCCGAATAGCAATTGGATGTTTAAAAGCAAAGCTACTAGACAAACTATATTAGTGTGTGGGAATCGACTGACCGGACCTGCGAAGACGAACCACACTGTATACCGAGCACTTCAGGGCAGTCATTTGACGACAGACATATGATGTTAAATGCGGAAGAACACTCATACGATGACCTGCGGCTGAAATTCAGAAAAGGTTTTCTCAGTGGCGTTCCCGTTGAACTTCCAGACTGGTATCCCCCAAACCAAACACACTGACTGGTCTGAACTGCAACTGGATGACATGGGCAATACTGAACCAAATGAGATTGGGCGTTACCGTTGTGAAGACCAACACAACAACATGAGGCCAGCTCGATGAAATTAAAACCTTATGTAAGTGCGGCCAACGACAGGATATGGACCACCTGCTCCAGTGTAATCACTGCTCCTTTCCATGGCCAACACCAAGGCAATAAACTGTGATCGATTCTGGGCCGAACACTTGAAATGTTCAGGCTTGGACACGAAAAAGTAAAAGTAAAGTAAAAAAGCGACGTCGGCAACACACATTTAATCTCAAAAATGTAGTTCTCTCAATAGCTGAGACAATAATATACTAGGATGCTGCTTAAATAAAGACTGCGACCATTCAAGATAAATAAGATGTCAAATCAAAAAATCAAGAGGACATTCAATAAGATGCGTAATAAAGTGAACTGTAATCTCTTCCTCACTATCCATACGTAGGAGTTTAACATGACTCTTGGACTAGAAAAATTGTAGAATAAATATTGTATCCTCAATTTAATCTATTTTCATACTGATTGATATTTCTTCTTCTTTGTGCGACTAGAATTACTCCTGTTTGTCTGCCTTTTATTCTGTTTCAGTCGTTGTTGACTGTACTTTCCACATCTTTCCACATTTTTGGCGGCCTTCCAATGGGTCTTCTGCTATACGGTTTGTTGTTTTTACAGATGTTCGCTAATCTATCTGGTCCCATTCTGTTTACATGTTCGATCCAGTTTTTTTTCTTGTTTTTATCCACCTGCTAATATTTTGAATTTTCCATTGTTCGCGTATACTTCTCTTGGTTTGTCCGTCTCTTAATGATATGCCTGCTATTGATCTTAATACTTTCATTTCGATATTGTTGATTTGTTGTTTCGTCTTTCTTGTATCTGTCCTTGTCTACGCTGCATAGTTAGGATTGGTCTTACTGTTGTCTTGTATACTTTCATCTTGCTTTCCGTGGTCAGATATTTGTTTCTACATATGGTTTCTCGGAGGCAACCACTTACTCTTGCCGCTTTTGATGCTTGCCTTGTGGTCTCTGTTCTTATATCCCTGTCACAAGTATTCTATACTCATAGGTAATTAAATTTCATTATTTGTTCTACAATTTTTCCCTCTAATCTAAGTTAATTATTACATTAGGTAGATATGAGTAGATAAATTTTGATGATACTTACATGATACAAAAAAGAAAGAACTGTTAATCCGTCATCGTCTGCAAGAGCATTTGAAAAGTTGCCATAATCTTCCTTGTAAAATACTAAATGAGTTTCTAAAGGGTAACTAAAAGAAAAGAAAATATGATAATGACAATATATTTTGTTTTAAGTTAATAACTTAATATTGCGATATTAAGGGTTTAATTTTTATTATTGGTTTTAATTTTTTATAGGACAGTCGCGGTATGTGCAAGGCGGTTACATGGATGCATTCGTAATTTAAAATTCGTATATTGCAATTGATCTTTTCTTAGATATCTATAGCAATTCTTTCATTCTTTTCACCTGAAACTTGCAAAATCATTTGAATTTTTTAGGTTAAAATCAAATTCTACTACTTCTGAACATTTGTTGTCTTATTCTTCAGTCAGAAAGTTCATCCTGACAAATTAAATTGTACAATAAGTTAGTTTGGTTTGTTTTTTGTATAAGAAACAGTTGCTGTGCTTATACTTAAGAGCAAATTAAAAATTATGGGCACACTACTGTACAAAAGCTCTTCTACTTGAATTTAATGCAGCCATAGTTCACAGACCATTCAAAAAGAGCGAGAATTGATCAACATGATCAAACTAAGAAAGGTCCAATACTTATTATTCATATAATATTTAGGGAGTACTTAAACAATACTCTCCCGAATCGAATTGTCAGTGGCACAGGCAATATTAAGTGGCCTGCGCGATCTCCAGATCTTACACCCATGGACTTCTTTTTTGGGGATATTTAAAAAGTATCATCTACAAACATCCTGAGGTTAAAGCCCAAAATTTTGATGAATTAAAAAACCGAATAAGAGAAGTCCACAATTCTGTTACAGCAGAAACTCTTACATCTGTCCGCAGAAGTTTTATGACAGATTGGGATACTGTTCAGCCAAAGAAGGTCAAATATTTAAATCATTTCTGTAGCGCATAAAGAATTATTTCTTATTTTATTAGGAATTATTTTTTATTTTTAATAAGAGTATATTTTTTGTTTTATTTTCTTAAGAAATGCACTTTTATTTTTAATTCAACCACAAAAAATTGATCACATTATTAACAATCGATACAAATGCACCTCCTTATAAAAGTCAGTGTATTTTTGTCGAGTTTATGAACCGGATATACGTAGAGAAAAAAAAATCGACGGACGGAGATGCAGATGCATATCCCATGTGTTGTTATTTGTTACTAAATGGTTGTCTCGTTTTCTGTCTAGGAGTCAAGGTGTCGAAGGGGATCGGAGAATGTACCTCGTATGAGGCAATGTTGCCGATTTTAGCGCTTTATGTAGTTTGCAATACCTAATCCAAAACTTAACGTACTGTATAATGAGACCTAAATATCGCTTACTCCGGTTGATCATTTAAGGACAAAATCGAAGTAAAACGCTGGTAGGAAGAAAACAACTGTCCTGGATGCGTAATATTACCCGGCGTTTACACAGAATAGTATTACTGTCATTGGCGCAGACGAGACAGTCGATTGTAATTATTAACGATGATAATGTGACAGAATTAAAAGAATTGTGTTCTGTTAACTGTCTCTTCAAATATTTTTAAAATGGCGTAAAATCATTTGGAGCTAGATTTCCTGACCTCAGAGGCTCCTTATGTCACAGTTAGGTCCAAGCAAACATTCATTAAAGCTGTTTTTAAGGATTTTTTTAACCTCTCTGGTATTGTGCATAAGGTACCAAACCATTTGAAATTTCTTCTTCATCTGGAGCTACTTCTGCAAGTCTCGGTCAAAATTTCTTTTTGAAGCAAGTTCAAAAACTTTTTTGAATTTAAATTTTCGTCTTAGAAAAATAGTCCAATAATATTGTGTTTAAATATTTCTAACCAGACGTTTATTTTTCGAGATATTCTCAGGCTGTCTTGTCGACCAAATCCTATAATAATTTTAAATAAGATGTTGCTACCCAAGACATTGTTTAGTTTCCGCCATCTTAAGTCGAACTAAACTGTCTCGACCGCTGTTATGATAATTGTCACGACAGTCAATGAAACGACTGCCGTGCCACCGATTGTTGAAGGAAAGTGGAGGTTTACACATGACAATCGACTGTCTCATCTGCGTCAGTCACTGGCGCACTGGTTAGACAATAGGCAAGGCGAATGGCTGATGAATTGTTTCATCTAGCTGCCGACCCACAAAACATTTCAACAGCTTCTTAATATACGACGATAGCAAACGCTTGAAAACAAGCTCTATTCTTTATCAACCATTTTCCATCCACTCCTGAATGTAGATCTCTCCCAATTGCTTTCATCTTTCTCTATCTTGCGTCAATCTAATCCACTGTTTGTCTGTCCACTGCTCTTATGTCATTTACCCATCTTTTTTGAGGTCTTCCCATGCTTCTTGTTGTCGTCCTTGGTCTCCATTCTAGAATTCTCTGTGCCCACCTCTTGTCATTATATCGGGCTACGTGACCTGCCCAGCGCCATTTCATTTTTGTAATTTCTTTCACAATATCCCTAATCTTCGTTCTACGTCTGATCTCGGTGTTTCTAATCTTGTCTCTCAGTGATATTCCAAGCATGATTCGTTCCATTGCTCTTCGCGTTGTTTCTAATTTTTTAGCAGATTTTCAGCAAGTGTTCTTACGGTGTGCAAGTGGTCTATGGTACTAAAATGTTTTCTGAATCCAGCCTGCTCGACAGGTTGATAAAAATCGAGCTTATGTGTTAGGCGGTTGGTTATTATTTTAGTTAGTAATTTATACAGATGTGATAGCAAGGATATTGGTCGGTAATTCTCATAGAATTACCTGAAAACAAGTACGACATCCAAAGAACAAGAAGATAGTTCAGATTCTACGGCAAACTAATAGGACTGGTGCATAAACTATATAAAAATACATAAAGTTGTCTGCAGAGTGTAAATATAGGGCGAATGTTCTAAACATTTGAAACACAATGGATTGCGATTATAAGGTGCGTTGGCATGTCTACTTTTTAGCATAGTCTTGGAGCAAGCAGTAACGAAACCATCAGATTTATTACTAAAGGAAGTACAATAAACACATTAAAATAATAACTATAAATAATTATATTTATTTTACACCAATCAAGTATCTATTATTTACCTTCGATTATTTATAAGATTTTCCGATCCTTCGTAATCGTTTCTACCCCAGTGAAAGTGAAGTTGTGCGAAACAGTAAGTTCCATTTAGCGGTCCACCTCTAATTTTTGGTATGTCTCCTTGTCGAATCGACAATTGCACTAAAAAAGAGCAAAATATTTGTTGTAGAAAATTAGAAATTATTACTATAAGCGGTAGATTAGTAGTACCATTAGTACACTATCACTAAAGTGATACTTTATTATTTACTTTATTATTAAGCATGTAACATGTTAATTCGATATGGAAATTTTAGAGACGTGGTACATGCAAGTTTTTACGGACAACCGTAAAATTTATTGTAAAAAAACAAAGATATACAGCATCTCGTTTTATTATACCACAGTCAAAAGAAAAATAATACGAATACAAAACAAATTTACTTGTTATTTATATTAAACGTTAAAGAACGAAACTTTATATCTGAATCATTTTCAATAACAAAGAGGCTTATACAAGGATGTTGTCTATCTCTGACCTTATTTAAAATATATATTCAATCATTGCTAGAGAAGTAGAGAAAACAAGTATCCGGAATGGGAATAGAGATAAGCGGTGGTATATGTCTAACAACTTTATTTTTCGCAGATGATCAGGTAGTCGTAGTGAATGATGAGGAAGACGTGGACTATATGTTTAGAAAACTAAACAAAGATTATGAAAAATAGGGCCTCAATATGAATATGTCAGAGACAGACTATCTTAAAATAGGAGATGATGAAGAAGATCCAGAAATTAGAAACACAAAAACATGCAATGAATATAATTATCTAGGATCTATAATCTCTAAAGAAGGCACTACCAAAAACTCTCTACTATGGTCTAAAGACATTAGACAAGAAACGAAATTGACAATCTATCGAACCTTGGTAGAGCCTATTATGAATTATGGGGCAGAAGCATATCAGGAATGAAGACACTAGAAGGAGGACAAATACTGTATATTCTAGTGTAGACAGAATTGAAACGAGACAACTAGTTGGTATGGTCACGTGAAGCGAATTAATGAAGATATATGGCCAAAGAAAGCTTTAAATTACATTCCACAACAAAGAAGAAGAAGGGAAAGGCCTTAAGTTGCCTGGGAAGAGAATGTATGGCACATAATGAGAGAGAGAGCCATCAAAGAAGACGAACGGATGGACAGAAAACGATGGCGGTCGAAATGCGAGAAGTGGCAGAGGCTGTAGAAACCTCGCTTATATATATATATATATATATATATATATATATATATATATATATATATATATATATATATATATATTTATTTATTTATATATAAATATATATACTTATATATATATATATATATATATTATATATATATATTTATATATGTATATATATATATATTTATATATATATATACATTTTTCACGGCGACATCCATAGGGCTTTGATCGGTAACTTCATATTCACTATTTTGTAGAATTTTATTAATATTACTTATAATGCTACCTAAAGTTAAAATCAAAGTTTAATATCCATTAAATAGTTGGAGGTTATTTATGATTTTCTTGGTTCTTTCTCACTTATTAACATTAAATAACATTGAATTTATTTTGGACCACATGGTCAATTGCTGTGCTAATTTTTGTACAAGTTCATATATGTTGTTAGTTGCTTAACTGTTTATAAAAGATCAGCGTACTATGTCCATTTACTTAGTTTCATTCACATATTTGTTAATAACATTGACTGCTACATATCTTTTTAAGATGAACTGATGATGCTTTCAAAACTCGAAAGCGAAACGTCTTCAAAATAGATAAAGTAGCCTATCAACTTTGTCTTTTATTTCTCCACCTAGAGACCGATATAAGAACCCACCACTCGTCTGAGTGATCCTTATATATATATATATATATATATATATATATATATATATATATATATAGTATTGGAAGATTTAAAACGGAATATACGGATTATTAATACAATTAGTAAGATCCCCTGACCTGCAATTACCTAGTGTAAATTTCAATATAACGTCGTGATGTCTTATAATTAATTCATTTGTTCGACTGGATTGCTACTCCTTCGCGATTTCTAGTAGCGTATTCGGCAGGTGTACGTCGACACTGTTGTCTATCGTCCACTGATTTTCTGTGCTTTTGTGCAGATAATAACAATGTTTTAATAATAATAGAAATGTCGAGTTATGATGTTAAAAAACTTTAGCTAGTAACAACATAGTGGTGTTTTTTTGTTACTATGTGCAAAAAAGTTTATTTATTAACGTTGGAAATGTATGGTAGCTTTGAACTTAAAACGCAAAGGTTTACCCAAGGACAATCGAAAAACCCAATGTAACTACATTTAAAGGAAGTAATTCTTTGAACTGTCGGCAATAACTAAATTTTTAATTGTTGTAAAGTTTAAATGTGAGCTTCTGTTTTCATAGAACGCAAGCGCAGAACAATTACAAGTAGTATTTTTGATATCTATGTCGTTAAGGTTCATGGGTAAAACCGATGAAGTTAGATCCCAGTCTGGGGAGATATTAGTTTAGAATTTTCATAATTGAAATTCTTTTTTTTTATTAGTATATTGTTCATGTATTATTATAATAATATCTTATTGAGATGTATCTAAGAAAAGCAAGGGAATATTTATATTGGCTTTACATACAGAAAGGGTTTACATTGAATATTTCTTAGCATTATTTTTTTTATTATGTCAATAATTTTATGGTAGATTTTTTCTTCACATAGTCAGTTTGATACTCCTCTAAAATCGTCTGATATTTTCGGGTTATTGAGCAGTAATCGAGGCATATAAACAAAAAAACCTGTTCGGAACCGTGACTAATCCAAATATATGACAATTTTTTTAATTATTATAGGCCTATATAAAGAAAACCTATATGTTTTCTACAGAGATTTCGGCGTCTTTTTTAATTATTAACAATTTAGTGTAAAAAATGCATTTTTTTGATTTTTTGTTTACCACTGAAAAGCTTAATTTTTGATAAGGTAACATTACAAAACTTTTAAAACATGTAAAATTGCGATCTAAAAGTTGCAAAATTAGTTAGTTTCTTCAAAAACTTCAAAATAAGGCAAAAACGTTTAATAACAATTTGTTTACTATTGTATTACTATTGTAAAAAATCAACCTAATCATCTGTTATTCCGCTTAAATTTGGGTATTGTGGTCCTTAATAAACCCTCAAAATTTCAGATCGATCTATCAATTGATTTAAAAGTTTGTTTTATTTGTTTGTCCCAGAGAGTGTTTTTTACAGTAACGTTAATCGGAAAATAATAAAGATACAGTAATTCTACGCATACCAAATAAAAGATTAAATGTTAAAATATGTAAAAAAAACTAAAAAAAAAATTGTTTACAATGCAAAACGGTTATGGTTATACCACAAAATTATGGTTATTTTTTATTTATAAACATTTAGAATGAAACATTTAGATTTATTTATAACTTTTAAACTATTGCTTGTAGATAAAATCTTTTTTCATATTTGAAAAGCTACCGCTTTTTTTCATATTAAAAAAAATAGTACAGAGGAACGACTGGGTAAGATCAAAAACAAAAGTTAAGGATACAACAAAAATTGACAAACTCAAATGGAGCTTCGCAAGCCACACTGTTAGACAAAAAGACCAACGTTGGAACGCCACAATACAACTTTGGAGACCTGACAACAGTAGACGGCCAAGAGGAAGACCACAGATGAGAAGAGAGAAGGGAGGCCAAGGAGAAGGCTAAGGTAGAAGAAGACCAATAAACAACGTAATTTGTTTAAATAATTTATAAAAAAAATTCCTCAAAAATCCATATTTTTGTAATACTATCATTTTTACCTATACGACAAGTTAAAATAAACTTTCCGGAATAAATTTTCTTTAATAAATAATTTAATATTACTTATACTCCAGCCGTCAGAGACGAAAATACCACTGAACCTCTAAAAATCATACGAACAAGCTGAATTTTGCCAAGAATGTCAATTTTAGAATCCCAAAAAGATACTAAAAAGTTTACCACTTTTACCCCCGGGCTTTCCCCCAAAACCCCCCTCGTAGGTAGGGAAAACAGAAAACATCGATTAATCAAGAATTTGTACACCGTAGAAAAAAATAATGTTTCAAATAAAAAATGACGATAAAATTATTTTCCACAAATCTGAGATATCTAAGGTAACTTATTTGTTTATCTGAAACTAAATGACTCACAGCATCGATTGTTGTTCGTCTTTTACGTAAACCATAATGAATGCTTGATAATAGAGATATACCATGCGGTCCATATGTATGGAATAAATTCATTTTTATCGTTATTATGTACTATGTGGAAAAAACCTAAAACAGGTCGATTTTTATTCATAAATTGACAATTTGCAGTATAAAAATATTATCCCTCCTATATATAATTTTAGCCCTATCGTAAAGGATTTAATTATTCCCTTTTTTACATTAATATTGTGATTTGATTTGAAATTTAAATATCTATTGGTGTGTGTTGGTTTTCTATACACCTGAGTCTCATATCCAGTATCGTTCTTAGAGATTAAAACATCCAGGAAAGGTAGCGTGTTATTATATTCTTTTTCCATGGTAAATGTTATTGTCTCTTCTTTATCGTTTATATTATTTAGGAATATGTCCGATAACTCTGATCCATGAGGCCATATTGAGAAAACATCATCTACATACCTCCACCATACTGTGGGTTTTAAATTTTGTTTAGAAATGATATTTGTTTCAAAATCTTCCATAAATATACGATAGAGCCAAAATTACTTGTTCTAACGAAAATTCGTTCTTGGAGGAGAAACATTTGTTAACATCTGTTTTATTAAAAAATGATTATCCTTTATCGTTTATAAATAAGGAATTTTCAACAATCGATCGAATAGAACAGAACAACTTAGATCGAGATCCTACAGCATACACAAGGAATAATACGAGGAAAATAACAATACCGTACATAAAAGGATTATCAGAAAAACTTAAAAGGATAGGAAATAAATTCAACATTTCAACAACATTCAATACAACAAACACGTTGAGATCTATTTTGTCCAAAACCAAACCAAACCTAACAATGAACAAGAAAGGACAAAGAATTGCATTTATAA